GAACAAGTTGTTTGTTCTGCATGGAGACCAAAACCAGCTCTGATGTGTAAAAAACACAAAGGTAAAAAAAAACCATCACCAAAACAACTGATGAATGACAAATTTTAGTAAAAAACATCGTCAACTGTAATTTTTTTTTTGGAGCAATTTCCACATGTTTTGTTTTGCTTTCTTAAACTGCAGATATTTATCAATTTTTTAAAAAAAAATTAGATAAATTTACATGTTAGCCATTTTAAAGAAAACAGACTGAAACTCTAAATAATGTCCACATGAAAAATCAGTATTTTAACTAATAGTAATTTATTCTTTTACAACATGTGGCTGTAAAATTAAACTCTTTCACTGTATTTATCAGCTAAACTATTTTTTTTTTTTTTTACAAATGTTAGCTGTTATTTTCAATATTTTTAAGCAGTTTTTAAAAAATTAATATTATAATCTGTTGTTTTTTTTGCATATTGTTTCTGGGGAGTTTTTTTTTTTTTTTTTTTTTTACAGTGCACATATGAACAGTTTTGTTTTTCTGTGGAAACTTTAAATCTTCATGCAACACTAATGACGACTGCAGCTATACGTCATGAACAACCCGTCATCATAACAAACACTTCAGAACCCAGTGCCACACTTTACAGCCTTGACCTAAATTTCACCAAACAATAGTTGAAATCACAGCCCAGTGATGACAATTAAATCTGTGTGGACGTCTTGATTAAGTCCCCAATCAGGCCTTTGAGTAGCCCGACCCGTTTGTCCTGGATCACCCTGAGTAACGACGTCATGCTGGTTTCTGTGTGACTCCGGCACCAAGCTCACAATTTCTAAATTAGTTTTATGAATATTTCATCGATGTGCTGCTGCAGAGAGATCATGTTTTGTCTGGTAATAGTTCAATTTGTGCTCTGGTGCTGGTTTCTGGGTGCGTTTACCTAGAAAGCAGCCACATTGTGGAGAAGCTCACAGCTGGAAACGTGACCTTCTCCATTCAGGAAGATCCAAGGACAAACTGTTTAGGATCTTTTTTTAATTCCCTCTCATGCCATCTCATTGTTTTCAGTAACGTCCTGTTTGCAGGATGAATTTGGGATAACATGAGTGACATTATAAAAGGAACATTTACACATTTACAATATAAAATCCTCCATAAAGTCCCACTGGAGACATGATGAAGATACAGCAGGAGATAATCCAATGAAATAAAATAGGGCGAGGTCATTATAAATCTGTTATTTATCAGCAGAGAAGCACTATAGGCTTCCCAGGAGGAGCATTATGGGGGGTTCTAATAATTTTAGAAGGCATCGTTTGTCTCCTGGAGGTGACTCACTGACACGATGAACACGTGCTGCTTGCTGTGCATGAGAGAGGAAGAGAAAAGCGCTTCAGTGGGAAGCAGAGCGAGCTGCAGCCGACAGACGAGCCGAGGCTGCACGGTGGTGGGACGCAGACAGGTGCCGGAGCCACAGCTCACAGGTACTCTGCTCTTTAACATACATGCTTTTGTTTATAGTGACACATGTGGAGTTATGAGTCGTGCATTTTATGTTTTTGTCCTTTTAGCATTTAAAAGAAAAAAGATTGACAATAAGTTTAATAATCAGGATTCTGTTGGTAATGTTTTGCAAGGGTTAATTCTTCTATATTCAGATAGTTTAGTAAAACAAATGGATGAAAAATGCTGTGTTCAGTCTAAGTAGGTTAATGATGAGCATGTATTCATGTTCTACAATCTGATGAACATGTAACGAGACAGCTGCCTCCTTTATATTTGGAATTTGGCTAATTTGACAGGATTTGTTTTGCAGATGTAGTAAGATGTTCTGGTTGTTTTTTTGTTTTTTTAAGTCAGTGACAAAATAAACAAATAGAAAGAATCCACTATAGGCTGTGCTGATGCCACAATGACCCCCTCAGCCCAGATGTGGACGCACATCCTCTTCATAACGCCTTCATTTCACCAAACAGTCGCTCCAGTGCTCTGCCTCTATGCACTGGTAATTATGGACAGCACATCTTTAAGTAACAGCCACGGCTTCTTCTCTGCAGCGTTGAATAAATCCACATTTTCACACTCGGCGTAACATCCGTGTGTGTCATTGATGAATATTTCTTAATGCTCCACGATAGCTGGACCCTTGACGTCAGAGACAGATGTTGGGCAGCTGTTAGAGTCTGGCTGGTTTTAAGGAAGCTGGAAGAGCGAAAAGATGCTCAAAACATGTCATCCAGTTGTTTATGAAAACCAGTGTGGATGAAAAAAGGATGTGGAGAGGAACAGGGAGGAATAAAAGGTTGCTGTTGTTGTTGTACGGGAACACGGAGGCTCTACTTCAGCTCTGTAATGAGACTGATGGAGGATGTTGAAGACGGCCACTAACGAGCCTGTTGATGTGTGAATCACCTCTTCACTCTGTTTATGTTATGTCAATGACACTTCAGGTTTAATCAAAATGTTAAATCAGATAAACATGATAATGCATGCATACTAAGTGTTTGGGGTTTTTTTTGGACTGGTCTCATAATTAACAGTTTGTTATTCGTTCTGGTTTCTTCTGCAGCGATGGACTGGGAGACTTCAGTCAACTCTTCTGCTCCAGATTCTTCTTCAGCTCCGTCCTTGTCCCAATCTTCCCCTTTCTTCTCCTCTTCCTGCTGCAACTCCTCTCGCCCCGTCTTCTCGTCCTCCCCGTTCTCGGTCTCGTCCTTCTCCGGACTCGACCTCCTGTTCAGTCTGAAGATCCTCTTCATCCCTCTCTACTCGGCCGTGGTGCTGATCGCGTGCTCCGGCAACCTCCTGCTGCTGTTCCTCATCTGGAACAACAAGAAGAGACACAACACGACTAACTTCCTCATCAGCAACCTGGCGCTGGTCGACCTGGTGATGTGCGTCTTCTGCGTCCCTCTGACGGCGTCCTACGCCTTCGACCAGCGTGGGTGGGTGTTTGGATCCTACATGTGCCACTTTGTCACCGTCATGCAGTCTGCAGCCGTCTACGCAGCCGTCCTGTCCCTCATGGCCATCGCAGTGGACCGCTACGTTGTTGTGGCTTATCCCATCCGGAAAAGAGCAGGTTGCCAGTTCTGCTGGGGCCTGGTGCTCCTGATCTGGCTGGCCTCTCTGGCCTTATCCACACCTACAGCGCTGCACACCGTGTATCTGGACCTGAGGGCGGCGGGCCTGCAGATGGCCGTCTGTGAGGAGTTCTGGGATGGCCAGGAGCGAAGCCGCCTCATCTACTCCTGCTTCATCCTCTTCTTCTCCTACTTCGTCCCACTGGCCGCCGTCTCCATTTCCTACTGTGCTATTTCCCGTCAGCTGAAGCGGAGAACCAAGTCGGGTCTGACGGCGTGTCCGGAGCTGAGATCTGCACGAGCCACCTGGAGCAGACGGAGGAGGAAGACCTTCTGCCTGCTGCTGGTGTCCGTCCTCTGCTTCGCCTTCTCCTGGCTCCCCTTACAGGTGTGACGCCAGAGACCGATGGTTTGATATGAGATAGTTGAGTGATGAGAGTCACAGCCTGCTGTTGGCATCAACGTCCCATCACAACTGAATTTGTCCTGTGGCGCTTATCTAGATTGTTTCCTCCTGACTTGCTTGTGCTGCATCTGCTCTCAGATGTATGTAGATGTAGAATTGTAGAGATTCCCACCAGTTTCCTGTCTGTAGGTAAACGTGCAGCATTACAAGCGCCTGGTTTAGCATAAAGACTGAAAACAGGAGGGACAACGAGCCCTGAAGCTCATTACTAAAACATTAGTTCTGATTCATTGTGTAGAAAAACTGTCTGGGAACATTTTTATTAAGGTCTTCTAACCTGCAGAAATTCTCAACCAAAGAAACAGTCAGTCTCTGTTCCAGCCTCGATGCTGAGCTTAGAGAACTATTTGATTCATTCTTGATAAAAATCCTCTAAGTCCTAAAAAAAAAAACTATTAAAGAGTCTAGCTATTCCTTTATTTGAATAAACTGCTAAAGCGACTCACTGTTCCTTGACTCTAACAGCTTTTGCCTTCCAGGTGGTGAACCTGATCCGTGACCTGGACACAGACTTCTCCATCTTAGGGAAGAACTACATCAATGTCATCCAGGTCTCCAGCCACCTGTTCGCCATGAGCTCCGCCTGCTACAACCCCTTCATCTACGCCTCGCTGCACGACAAATTCCTGTCCTACCTGTGCCACGCCGTCCTGTCCCGGAGGAGAGGGAAGGGAAAAGACGGGGGTCAAGGCTCAAGCATCCTCACCATGTCTCACCGGATGCTGCGCCTGCAAACCTCCACCACCGTGGTGGCAGATCTACCGGGAGCCGTGATAAATAATCTCTTCCCCCAAGAAAACTAAATTATTTACTGAGACGAAAAGAATTTCATCCGGCTGCGTGTTTCCATTCAGCTCGGTCGGATGAAAATCGCTGCACGTGGTGGCTGAAATCAGATATGATGCAGGGTGTCGTCTCCTCTTCAGATTTAATACGAATCTCGTCGCCCTGCATCCCGACAGACAAACGGAGCGAGACGAGAATTCCTTTGAAGCAATTTACAAAACACAAAGCGTTCATACAGCAGCCGCTCACTTCACGGTCACAAACACTGCCGGTGTGAAAACATCTTCCTGCTTTATTTCAAATCACTCGTCTGTATATGTCTGTATTTTTTTAAACAAATGTGGATGTTTCTTTGCTGAAAGTCTATTTAGTGCTTTTGTTCGCTTCACTGCCAATTTCTCCTCCTGTTGTTGGATATAATCTTGTCATCTTTACGGCATCAGTACATTGTGTGTTTAATGATGTGTTATTTGGACCTGAATGCCACTTTTGTTTGCCTTAATAACAGAGAATGCATTTGGTTGATTGCATGTGTCAATAAACGGGTTTATTTAAATCATCTTCAACCCTCCTTTCTTTTCACGTCGGTTAGGGATATAATAGGAGAGTTTCCGTGTCGATGAATGAATGATGTACTTGGCCTTCAGTCACTCAGCTGAAGAACATACGTGTGCAAAAACATGTTTAAACGTCATCTTTGAAACGCTTCCACCGTGCTGCTCATTATGACACGTGAGTAAACCAGAGAGATGCAACACGGTTCGCCCTCAACAGCCAAATAAACGTGCAAAATAAATGCAAACGATGACTCGGCTGGATTTGAACGCAGACACAGTGAAGTAAGCAAAAGCAGCGACGCAGCTAAAGCTGTTTGTCCACATTCTGCTTCCTCCCGTGTGCAGATGTTTTACATATACCCTGAGATAACGTCTGTTTTCTGAGTCTGTCAAACTATCACACGCCTTTAAACGGCCCGACAGGTGAGACGTTGTCAGAGAGTGAAAATACACAAAATTCTCTAAATTCAGCCGAAACATCTCACAGAACTTCGCTTTAGGTCAGTAAACTGAACAGAATCTGTGAGGATGAAACAACACAACACTTAAGAGCCTCTATATGTGCAAAATAAACGCAAATGATCCAATCATCCATCATATGTCCACCACTTAATCCTAACTGAGTCATAGGGGGCTTGAGTCTATCCCAGCTGACTCAGGGTGAAGGCAGGTTCACCTGGACAGGTAACCAGTCTATCACAGGGCTACACTTAGAGACAGACAACCAAGCACACTCACATTCACACCTACGGACAATTTACAATCACCAATTAACCTCAACATGTTTCTGGACTAGGGCTGCAAGGTGGCTCAGTTGGTTAGCATCGTCGCCTCGCAGCTAGAAGGTCGCCGGTGAGGACGGAGAGAACCCACGCTGCACGGGGAGAACATGGAGACTCTACACAGGAAGATCCTGGGTGTCCTCACCGGGACACAAACCGGCGACCTTCTAGCTGTGAGGCGACGATGCTAACCACTGAGCACCTTGCAGCCCTGTCTGAATACAGACACAGTGAAATAAGCAAAAGTTTGAAAATCTGTACTGCACTAGTTCATTTTTTAAATTCTGCTGAAGCAGCTAAAGCTTTTTTTTTTTGTCTCATATACTCATTTACATAAACTCTAAGAAATTTCTGTTTCCTGAATCTGTCACACTATGTCAGACATTTTGTCCAAATCTGCACCAACAGCTCAGAGCAAAGAGGAATAAATGCAGCATTGCAGAATTTCTTAGCGTTTTCTGATTTGTGAGTCCTAAAGCTGTGGTGACATCGGCTATGTGAGAGCTGAGCCGAGCTGCAGTGTGATGTCAGGATTTTACTCTACAGCCCTCTTTTAAAAAAACGTTCTGAATAGATTATTCTGCAGATATTGTGCTGTTTAAATTAAACAACGCATTTTAAGCAGGTAGGTCAGTTGAACCTACGACAGAAAGGTTCAAAACTATAATGTGTCGCCCAAATCGATGCTATCACCGCTAATGAAAGATCACAATCTGTAAATAGAAATCTTATTTGTAAAGATCTTTTGAAAAGGACCTTCTGTATTATAATTATGAAGATGAGACGTAATTACTCCAGAAAAAAACAACAACCGTCAGTAATGCCTCTGAGTGTGTCTGTTATCTGAACTCATTAACGTGCTGTTAAATCAGGACGGAACAGAATCGCTTTTACAGGCTGGTAACAGGGACGGTTCATCAAACAGCTCTTCTGCTCGTGTGCACAGATGTCATTTTATTCTGTGAAGATAATGAACCTTTAGAAATAATGTCTTTAAAAGCAAGAGCCACCTGATTACTAAAAGGTTTTCCTTCACTTGGGTCTTTGTCTCAGATTTAATCTGACAAACAGGAAAAGTGTAGAGCAGGGGAGTCAAACTCATGTTCATCCTGGGCCACATGAGCATCATGTTTACCCTCAAAGGGCCGGCTGTAAGTGTAAGACTGTAGAAATGCAACTACTCCTTAACATATTGTTGAATAATTGTCTCTGCATTTGATTGTTATTTATTCTATGTACAACTACTGTGCATTCCTTTATCTAAAAGTAAAACACATGCAGCAGCGCTCCACACTAACTTTTCCAACGGTAGCACTGGTGCTGCAAACTTTCTTCATTGGTGGCACCAGCGAATGATCTGGTCGCCCCCTTGTTTTGGTTCAGCGTTGCCACAGCTGTTAATCCATCGTGCAGCTGATGAACAGCTGTTTTTGCATAATTTCGTTCTGTTGCAGTGATTTTCAGTGATACAAGACTTGATATCTGTAAAATGTTTTAACCTGAAAATATATTTATTTTGTCACCAGTCCTCTTCTGATATCACTCATTAACTGGACACAGGCTGATCACTTGCTGAACATGTGTATGAGGTGATGCTACATTTTACCGATGGTCCCTGAACGCCTCACATGCTGCTCCAGTAGAAATCCTGATCGTTGTTAAAATGTGAACCTTCCAGATTGGATGTGGGGCGACTTTTTCTTCCTAACTTGACTCAGTGGAGATCTGTCTGCCTGCAGCTGAACACTTTCATCCTGTTATTTATCAGATGAGGAAACTCATCTCTCACGGGCCACATAAAATTATGTGACGGGCCGGATTTGGCCCGCGGGCCTTGAGTTTGACATATGTGGTGCAGAGGCTGCTTAGACACTCAGAAGACCAGTTTATGGATAAAGTACACGTCAATCAGCCACACCACCTGTCAGAACAGTCGGACTCGGTGGGATGTTGGTGTTGGTTCTAGTTGGTGTCTGCAGGGGGTGTGCTGGCTGTGTTTGGTTCTGTGGTTTTAACAGCGGTGCCTCTCTGGATCTTGATTGGATCGGTCTATAGAGAAGTTTGAAGTCAGGTCACTGCCTTGGGCTCTTTTCCTCGAGCAGTTCCTGAGGAGTTTTTGGCAGAATTCGTTGTCCTGCAGTGGGAAGTTGGAGGTTTACAAGAGTGTTTGGGTCGAATAACATCCACATGAATGTCAGAACCACTGTCATAAGATTATCCCTGTTATACTCTTCACCTGTCAGCGGCTTTAATGTTGTGCCTGTTATAATGTGTTATAGAATGGAAGTGGGAGCGTAAAACGGTAACTGTTGAAGTGTGACGTTCACCCTCGGGCTCCTGCATCCTGTTAGCCTTGCATTTGATAGTATAGTGAGCATCCCTCATGAAAATGCAAATGCAGGCGATGTTAACGGAGTCTTATGCAAATGTCGCTGCACTCGGTATACTGTAAGTCCTGACGGTTTGGGGCTGCGTGCATAAATAGAGCAACGACGGTCCTGTTTCATGTCGAGGCTTTTAAGATGTAATGCAGTTGTAATGTTTAGAAGACAAGAACTATGACATGACCAGAGCAGTAGTAACCAGCTCTGAAAAGACTACAGACGGTGGTTTGGTCGCTCGGTTGGGATCTGGGGAGTGTGGACCTGGTCAACGCCTGGGGCTCTGACCTCTGTTCCTAATGTCTAAAGATAAACTGACTTAAGCAAGAAATGAGACATGAGAAGAAAGTTTTTTGCGCATTTTGAACAGAAGAAAACAACTTCCAGACTTCCACTCGCTGCTCGCTCCTAACTTACAAGAGCCTTCACAAAGAAATTAGAAACACCTCCCGCGGAGCTGCAGCTGTTCCTGGAGGGTGAACCGTAGAGAGAGGCTTGTGGAAAATCAAGAAAAACCACTTAGTGTTCTGATACAGCGTGAAAATCCTCAACACCAGGTAGGTAGCTGCTGCTTGTTGTTTTTTCTAATTCCACAGAAAGAGGATTTCACACACACCAGAAAACAGCAAGAAAAAAAAAACAAGCATGAAATGAAATCAGAAAGCATCCAGCTCCTGCTCTAGTCAGAAGAAAACGCAGTACAGATTATTTCTAACAAAATAACAAGTTTGATTTTCAAACCAATTGTCACGATAATGTGAAACTTTCCAGAAGATGAAGCCTGTGGTTCAGCACAGAGGGCAAGAAAAGTTTGATAAAGAGGAGAGAGGTGCCTCAAGTCAGTCATTTAAACACCTCAGGACATGCTCTGCCTTGCTCTGCTTTTCACATTCTTACTCAAACTTTCATCTAGTTTTTTTTTGGATGCTGTCCAAAGATGTGGACATTATGCAGTGATCTTCACATTGTCTGGACTGTCACAGTGACTCTGGTTTCCACTGATAACCCTCGTGCCAGAGCTGAAGCACTCTGTCTGTTTTTCCACTGCTGGATTCCACAAGCACCGTCCTGCCTGAAGCATTTAACGAGGACAGCCACTGTGGCCCCAATTAGTGGTCCTGCCTCTAGTTCCTGATGAGTGTGAGGGCTTCCTCTCAGTGTTTTGTTGGGAAATTGAGACTGCCATTGATGAAATGCAGTTGGTTTGTTGTCCGTGGCGTGTACTGGCATATTCCTACACAAACCATCAGGCATGGTCAAACCTCTGCAGAAGATCCAGAACGCAGCACGTCTGGTTTTCAACCAGCCAAAAGCAGCACATGTCACCCCTCTGCTGCCTGCATCAAATTCAAAACGCTGACACTTGCCCCCAAAACCCCAATGAGAACAGCTCCCTCCTACCTGAACCCTCTCATTCGGGTCTGCATGCCCTTGCCCACTACGCTCGACCAACAAAAACCTCCTGATCCAACCACCACAACAGGGTTCAGGTCCATAGCTGGATTGTTTTCTCCTGACTAGATCCTTGCTGATGTTGTATCTGCTCTCAGATGTTCATCGCTTTGGATAAAAGCTAAATGAAACTGTAGAAACCACCAGGCCTCTCTGGTCCACTACGACATCTGTATAGTGTTCTCCTGCTCTTTGCTAAACATACCGTCTGCCATATGCTCCGTACAGCTGAAAACAACAGTCATGGTAAAAACCACCGTCCTTCATCTCGCTAGAGCTCAACAGACACGAGCGGTTGCCCACTGGAGCCAATTACAGCGCTGCTCTGCTGTTAGATCAAGGCCTTGATGTCGGGGATGAGATCAGAAACCAGCTTCTGTGAGGTTATTTATCACCGTTTGAGCAGATACTCTCTGGTGGTGACACCAACAACTTCATCAGCAGTCTCTGTAGCTGAATGCAAACAAATGGTGTGGTGGACCTTCAGAAGAACCTTCAGAAGAACCGGAATCTCTATATTGTCATTGCACAAGAAAGCACAACGACATTTGAGTGAGCAGCTCTGGTGGGCAGAGCAAAGCATCAGAAAACAAAAAATGCACAAGACATACTATAAAAAAAAACAAAGAAAAAGAAAGACTGTCCAGTTCACGGGGGTGGGGGGTTATTTACACAACGAATGGGATGAAGAATAGAAAAAAACAATATAGAATAAAGAACATGAATATGAATGGCTGTGGACTTACCTGACACGCCAGCATCCATCTGCCAACTGGACGTCCTCGTCTTTAGTCATCTGTGTCATTTGAAGAAAGCAGCATTTTCAGGTGGTTTGTTATCGTCTGTCGTCAAAGTTTCTGTGTGCTGGTCAAACTGTGGAGGTCATTTAGAGCTACACTTGATCAGGGTGTGGATGAACTGGATGTTCCACCTCTCATCCAAGAGGCTTCATCAGTTCTGACTGACTAGTTGGGAGTTCCACATACTTACATCTTTAAGGAGCCGTCATGTGAGTCCTTATCAGACCTCCAGACCTCCAGGTATCACCTCTCACCTGTTTACAATTCAGTCTTAAGAAATCTCCCCAGGAAGATGAAACCACATCCACACCGAGCCACTAAAGACCCTAATGAACTCCACTGGAGGAGGACCAACAAACCTCCAACTGAAACAGAAGCTCAGGTGTTAATGGCTCCTTGAAGATATCAGTATGTGGAACTCCCAACTAGTCAGTCAGAGCTGATGAAGCCTCTTGGATGAAACATCTTCAAAGAACTCAATCAAGTCCAGTTGCTACGATTAAACTACCAGAATAGTGATACCTCTGTTTAGGAACCAGACCCTGCGCTGACTGTCACCAGATATTAAAGAAGAGACAGCAGCAACGTCAGAAACAAAAACCCGCTGCTCAGTCATTGACAGTACACAGACATTTAGACTGTAGCCTCTGAAAAGGTGATGCTCACAGACGTATAATCACCGAACAGCCTGTGAATAGAAGCAGCTGAGCCGTCTGCCTCGTATCCCACACATGCAGATGATTTAACTTCTCATGCCATTTAAATCAACACAACCTGATTGAGTGGTGCCGAAGGCCCCATACATATTCATCAAAAGCCTGATTATTGAAGTTAGATGATTTACGTTGGCTCATGTCGGCTTTCAAGATGTTCCCACTCTCATCCTTCACGTCGACGCAGCGCAGCAGATGAATGGATTTATTTTAGGTTGAAAAGGAAGAACGAACGACAAAAACTGGGGAGAAAAGGGGAAAGTGTTGACGATTGTAGGCGATAACAGAGAAAATAAGTTTTTCTGTTTAAATTTAAAGATAAATAAGGAAGTTGAGCAAAATTCTTGAACTGTATTACATTATTACTGACAAAAATAGAAAAACAAAGACAATAAAATGGACTTAAATGATCAAATGAAAGGTAGACGTTCTAAAAAAAGAATTAGTTGCTTTATTATCACTGTACATGATGCAAAATGACGGTTAGCGTTTGACCATCATGACTGTAATAATAAAACCAACCTGACAAACATTGTCTGAGTGAGCCCCCTTGTGGGCAACAACTGTCACTACACCCGTCAACCTGCTGTCAGTTCTGGAAACTAAAACTATGAAAAAAAAACACTCACAGTCAAATTCAAACTCATATATTATTTATTACAATTAAATATTTTTCTTATATTACAGAGGTCCATTTGAAACCATACAAATAATCTGTGCTGTGATTAATATTTCCAAGATATTTCCAAAAAGCCATGCAAAGAATATGAACAAAAAAAATTCACATAAGAAGAACCAAAGTTCAGGTTTTTGTACACCTGGGAATGAAATTAAATTCATGTTTCCATACCGTCCCTCCTCGCTCTCGCTCTGTCTGTCTGTCTTTTTGGTGCAAATGATTCTTTGTGGTGATTCAAGATCAGACCAGTGTCATCTGACAAAAATGAAAGGCATTTGGAAGATACGCAACAAAAGTACAGTAACTGCTCGTCCTTCTCTTCGTGGAAAACTCTTGGAATATACGCGGGTTAATGGGAACAGGCACAGAGGACCAGTTAAGACATAAGTATCACGCATCTTGATTAAACAGAATTAGTTTGCTGAGTGATTCCTAAGGCTGTGGTTTTCTAACTCTGATCGAGGGGGGAGGAGGAGATTTTAAATTGCAGAAATCAAATGTAGTTCATTCTGCTGTGGATTATTTTTGCATTGTTGGCTTTCCTACACAAACCATACGTAAGATTGAACTTCTATCAGTGGAGCAATTTATCTTTTTGATTCACAGAGAAAGGCAGATTTAAATGGCGGGGTAACTTCTACCCTGATGGATTGGATTTAAAAATTTAAAAGAGCGTCTGAAAGTCAAATATTAAACCGCTGATTAGTTCTGCTGAAACTTTATTCTCTGAATAAACACAGAAATGAATGTAGTCCACTCAGGGAGCAGAGCAGAAGCAGGCAGGAAGCGGACAAACCCCACCTCAGAGCTATCAGGCTATCAAACACTCCTCCCCTGTGCTTGCAGACTGGGTGGAAGTAGTTTGCTGTTTCCTCCAGTATGTAGACCAGTGGTTGTGGTCAGCTCATGACATTTCAGTGATCATGTTAAAACATTTACAGCCTCCTGTAATCATGCTCGGTACGTTTAAGGTGTCAGAATATATCACAATATATTCCTTCTTGTTGTGCTATCAATTAAAGGTCTTTCTCTGGATTGTGTACAGCTGAGAGGTGGATTATTATGATGATTCAGCGGTTTGGAAAAGTTTCTGTGGAGGTTTTGTGAAAATTTGTCGATTCGTTGCAACCGACACAAATCGAGCTAACCACGGCTTCTGTTTTTGGAGAAGGGTAAAATGTCATTAAAGGATAATTCTGGTAGTTTTTAAACTGGTTTTCGGATGTTTTTGAGTGCAAAAGATTAATAAGAACAAAAATGAGTGGAATCAGTTCAGTAATGAGAATGACTGGCGACCATAAAACCAACTAACCACACAGGCCGATCGTCAAGTGGTTAAATTTAGTCACTGACAGGATCAGACTCCTACAGAAATGCACCTTTTTGCTCATATTTCACATCTTCTGTTCTCTGTGTGTTTTCGATGTTGCCGGTTAGCGGTTAGCGGTCGTAGCGTCTTTGCTCAATATTGGATCGATTACACTTTAAATCTTTGACACCCAAAAACATCCACAGCAAGGTTGTAAAGAATTATCCTTGAAAGAAAATGACTGACATTTTGGAAATAAAACCTTCCTGTGAAGAGCTAAATGAAAGGAGACAGCTCTCCATCTAGCTGGTTAGCTTAGCTTAGCATAAAGACCAGAAGAAGGAGAAAACATCCCCAACATGTTTAAACACCATGACTTCTACAGAAAAAGAATTTAACATGTTAATAAAGTGTGATGCTTTTTTTTACATTTTCCTCATGCTTCCAAACTTTATGCTAAGCTAGGCTAACTAGCTGCTGCATTACATGTTTTTATGTGAGAGCGGTTTTGGTCCTTTCAAGTAACGCTCTGCAAAAAGAAAATCTCAAAATGTCAGCCTCTTCTTCTAACAGTCATCCAGTCTTGACTTGTCGGCGTTTTTCTGCTTAAAAATCACTTGAAATTTGACTCAGACTTGATCAAGATTGACTTTTTTGCCTTTCAGGTCGCGTGAGATCACACGAATCTCTGAAATGCATCTCAAGCGTCCAGGAATCGAGATCAGCTCACTCGCAAGCTTGGTAGCTCCGGGTTCGGACCGGTACACGTTTCTAAATGAAAGGCTGGGAATGTTCTATAAGGCAGCAAGATCAAGGGCACAGGCTAATGGTAAGGTACGTTTAAATCATCGTAGCGTTCGGCATTTAAAGGTTGAAGAGGCAAAGCTTTGTCGTCCGAGGAGAAGTGAAAAGGAGAATGACGGAAAGCTGGGAGAGGCCAAGGTACGTTTTGGTCCTGCGGGTCAAGCATCTCTGGACACGTGTTGCGTCCTTCGCGTCCGAGATCCTTCCAAACACTCCGTACGTGTCCCCGGATCTGCCCACGGCTTACTTCAACACCAACACGACATTTAATAGGCTTGTATTGGGTAAGCGAACTGAAACACAGAGATACTATCGCGAATGACTCACACACTTTTCATCGTAGACAGTGCAGCTAAGAAGGAGCGACGAGTTCGACCTCCTTTCTAATCGGGAATGAAAAGCCACTCGTCTAAAACTCTATTCTTTAAAATTATCTTTTGAAAATAAATTATATGTTCTCAGTACAGAAATAAATACATATCTTTTTTTCTCAAACATAGGAACGAATCATCATCATCATCATCATCATCACAGATCTAAATGCTACACTGAATACATTACTCACCAGCTCATCAGTGAAGAAACGAGAATATAGGTGACTAACTGATGCCATCTGCCATGAACAGACACTCATCCAGATATTTAAATGCAAATATACAGTTTAGCTGACACCGGAGTCAAATCACACCTCTGGCAAACAGCTTTGAGAAAGTAAAATATTCCTCAGCATTGGCATAACAAAAATCCCCTCAATGCTCGGCTCGTTGGACATCTTCACACCGCGAAGCCAAACAAACGGAGCTGTGCTTTCTTTGCGGGGCGCCGGTCCGTCCTGCAGCGAGAAAATCATCTCCCAGGTGATTTTCAGAGCCGAGAGATACGACATAAAACCCGCAGATCTCTCAGAAACTCACCAGAGACGGAGTCATAAAGCCTCCGTACGCCACCGTTTGCTGTGATTGTACTTGATCAGTGGTAATAAAGTTGAATTAGATTTAATCAAATGTTCGGATTTTCCTCGCATCTGTGTTCGGGCTGAACTACAGAGACCTCTGGATCAACCGCAAAACGCGTGAAATCGGAAATGTTAAATATTTGGGAAACATGCTTGTTTGCTTTCTTGTGGGGATTCAGATGAGAACGTCGATACCACTCACGTGTCGGTACAGGAAGTACAGAGCTGCAGACGGTTAGCTTAGCTTAGCACAAGCCTGGAACTGGGCTGTTTTCCAGGATGCAATGATTATTTTCACTGTCAACGAGGAAAGATGGCGATCCGAAGCCCAAAATGACGTCCTCAGGTGTCCCATTTTGTCCAAAACCAGTTTAAGAATCCAGATTCAAGTTTCAGAAGCTGGTCTCAGAGGATTTCACCTTTTCCCCTCTAATGCAAAATGATGAATCGATTATCAAAATAGCTGCTAATTAATTCACTTGTTGACAGCTAACCGATTAATCACTGCAGCTCTACTTTATGCTAAGCTATGCTAACCAGCTGTTCTCACTATCGGCACAGACACCAGAGTGGCTTCATTAAATCATTCAGTGCTCTGAAAACAAAAAGCATTTTTCCCAAAACGTGTAACGATTCCTTAATCGGCTCTACAGTAAAACGTCTGTATGCAGCCAGATGGACACCAAGCAGCCGCATTCACAGAGAAACCTACTGACAAAAAATGTGATGAAGTCTTCAGCCACTGAGAAACTTATTTTTCTCTCGTCTCCACATGAGGACCAGTGTGGCACGCTACGCCTCACGTGTTCATCTGTCGGCCAGACAGTAGCATTATTCACATGTAACATCAACTTCTCTGCATATAATCTATCAAATGTCACATTTCTAAGAGCAGTAGCACTTTCTACAGCAGAGGACGCTCCAGGTTCTTCACACCGCTACGACGACACCGGAGACCCATGTATGATAAAGACCATTTACACCCCATATGAACTCCTACACATTATGCCAGACCATTACTTTTACCTAATAAACCTGCGGCATGGAAGTATGAACATGAGATTTCAAATAAAAATGAGCTTTCAATCCTTTGTCCTAAACTCCGGTTCCTCTCTCACGGAGGCAGCAGGTAGCTAATTAAAATTTGTGGAGCATGAAACCGGGGCAGCGTTGTCTCACGTCCCGTAGCATCGTGTGTCACGCCAGGTCAGGTTCTACTGCAGGTTCTTGAGGAGGCGTCCGTAGCGGAAGTCATAGACGTGTCGACAGAAGAACACCATCTCTGGGTCGACGTCATCCGGCACACAGTGGTGGGTGGGCATGGCATTGCCAACAACGGGTGGCACCACAAGGGAGGCGACACTGTCGCATACACCCTCCCTACGGCGTTTAACCAAGGCACAAAATCTGGACACACAACAAACACGGAACATCAAACTTAAAGACATCCAGAAAACTCTAAACATGCTTCTTACTGGCTTTAATGAGGCTTAAACCTGTCTAAAGGTAAACATATTTTTAGTTACCCGGTGGGGGATTTGGAAGGAAATAAACCATCAAAAAGCAGCACTGTGGAGTTTCCTCACTGGTAATCTTTCAGCAGCAGTACGCGCATAAGAAATACATTTCAAAGAGAAATCCTAAAACACTCAGAATGCTTTCAGTCTTACCGACAATACTGTGCCAGCGTTAGGACATAGCATTTGTCTTCAATACAGGCCACACTGTTCACGTCCTGGTGACGAGATGCAAAGATCTCATTCTGCAGAGAGACACTCGGGTTAGGAGCAAAGAAACACAAACAGGCATCATCTAATATCCTCTTAAACCTTCACATTTTGCATACAGAGGAGCAGCAGTGATCTCAAACCAACCGGCCTCACTTCCAGACATAAAGACAGATTCGCGGAGCGGCGCTTCCCTTCTGAACCCGCTACTGTTCTCACACTGCCGCTCTGATGTGTTTGTTGTTTGCTAGTTCAGTCGAGACATGACAGACTTCATGTGGTTTATTGTTTCTAGACATTGAATTGAACTCGTTCCTCTGGGAGATCACTGGCAACAGGAAGCAAACACAACAGAGGCTGTTGCTCAACATGTGTGTCTGCCTGTGCATGTATTCAAACACCAGGACGTCTCACACAGCGGTGATGAGCTGCAATACAGAGTAGGAAAGAGCTCGAAACATATAAACCTTAAATAATAATTGTTTAATGACACTGGCATTATTTTAAATGTGAGCTGATTTTAACAGCTAATGACACCCATTACAGGCTCACTTGATTATACATTATAGAGCTGATGAGAGCTGTATTTTAGGTGTAATCATATACAATTACACCTGACAGCTATTAAAAAGACGTATTGTTTGTGGCCGCGCTAAAAAAAAAAAAGACTTCAGGGACACATGTCAGCTTCTTACCTCACAATGTAGGCTGGGGTTCCGCCCTCCCTGTGTGTGTTCTGGACGGTAGTACCAAAACAGACTCATCATCATCTCTCCTGCAGAATAAAAACACACCACCGAGTTCACTTAAGCCAGTTATTACCACATGGGTTCAGCTGCTCCTGTGGTTTATGTAAGTCGGTGCTGATTCCTACCTGACTCCGGTTCCTCCCACAGAGCCGAGACCTTGGCCACGTAAGGCAGAGACTTTTTTCTAGGTCCAGACTTCAGGAGAACAGTGTCTCTGACCCGAATCAGCTCCCCGTCCCTGTGGACGCCCTCAAAACACTTCCTCAGCACCAGAGACTCCTCTCCCTGGAAACACAGGCAGCAGGAAACACTGACAGTCGGAAACTAAAAAGCTTTAAGAGGCCGAGGAGCAAAAATCTGCAGGATGTGATTTTAATTGAATGACTTTTGTGCCTTTATGTCGTGTGTTGAGATAAAATAAAGTGAAAAACCTGTGAGTAGGCCCTCGTGTGACATTAAGGCAGGTGTGATAAATCATCCTAAACTCTCTTCGGACAGTCAGGTTCAATTAAAGCAGAATTAATTACAAGTGGCACCATCATGGCTGTGTCAAAAGCACCAGCATGACTTTCTCTACGTACCACAGAGAAAACCTCCTTCTCAAAGGGCAGGCCAACTGGCCTCCAGCCGTTGGTGGATTTTTGGCGGCCGTTCTTCAGCTGCTTGGCAACTGTTTGCCCTCCGACGCTGGCAGAGCTGAGCTTCTGTTTCTTGTCCCTGCTGAGAGGGCAAACAGCGGCGCTGAGGCTGCCGGTGCTGCGCGCACCAGACCTTGACCCGCTGGGCGGCTTGGCACTCTGTGGACACTCCTTGGCCACCTGCAGAGGAGGCTGAGGCTGGCTGGGGTCGGACAGCGGAGTCTGAACGTGGGGCACTGATTGGCCGGCTGGAGGCACAGCGGGAATGGGGCAGCCAGTGATCATTCTGGGGCTGGGACAAATGGGAATAGAGGAGGGGCCGTGGTGGTCGCTGAGGGCTGATGGGTAGTCATCTGAGGAAGCAACAGAGAAGGGACGGAGTGAAACGTGTGCACAGTCCTTGAAGGAGCATCCACAGCGATCAACAACCTTTTAACAAGGTTACGTAACGGTGACATGACAAGACGCTGGGTTGTTATTAGTTCTGCTGAAGCGGCAGAAAAAAAGAGCCTCAATTAAGGTCAATTATAGCCTTTAACAGAGCAGCCACACACACACACACACACACACACACACGAAATCCTCCTGAAACTGACACTGAAAAACACCGACACAAGCATTCTCCCGTGTGAAAGATAACAAGAGCGGCTTGTGCACACTCCCATGAACAGCTGCGGTGAAGACGTTAAGGTGAATTAATGACCAATTTATTTCTCAGCTCTTTGAATCCAAACCTCATCAGCGCTCTTATTTACTCCTCAGAGAACGCATTACGTAAGGAGGTTTTAGGTTGTTTTTGTTCAGTTCTACTTAAATGTTTTGCTACTTCTAAAAAATAAAGTACAGAAAGTTTACTAAAGACTCAAACTTTCCAACAGCATACATCCACTGATATACTTGAGATATTTTTTACAATTTACGTTGAATTTCCAGGACATGGGTTTTATTTGTAACTGAGCATTTTCAAACTTTTTACTTTTACTTAAAGCCAGATGCCAACTTTGAGCAACAGATGCTCAAATGAAGCACAATGTGGGTGAACGTTCCAGAGCAACACCACCCCAGGGTTCAAACACCAGCCACCGTATGGTCACACCGGACTAGACTAGATTGCAGCAAGTGTATTCAGTTGATGGTGTTGGAGTTCCTGCATGGAAATTTGAACTGGAAACACATCTGGAGTTGGATTTTCCACTTGGAAAGTTGGAGGAAGCTGCAGTGTTTAACAGCACTTCTGTCAGTAAATCAATGGTATGTTGTCATTTCCAACTTCTATCTGTGCACATGTTGCTCTGGTCGCCCGTTTCTCATCCTTCTTTCACTGGAACATGGTCAAAACTGGTGCGATGTGATTCTCGGCTATAACTTCCGAGGTTAACGGACCACAGCATGATTAATGTACAGTCGTGACACTAAATGTAAAACCTTCTTCTATGTCGGATATCAAGGCTGTCGGATTGTCCAGACGGAGGTCCAGATACGAGGAGGGCTTGATGCTGGAAGGCTCATTAGATGTTAATTATTGTTCATAGTTGTTATAATAACTAGTAGTTCTGGTCCCAATAGAACTTTCTGCTCTCTGGATATTCAGGCCCAATTAATGATGAATATCTGAATATTCGTCCCGGTCGGGGGACACTTCCACCCCGGGGCAGCGCTCTGACGGGGTGGAAGTGTCCAGAACACACAGGCAGTACTTGGCTGCTGATGCTAGTTTAGTTAGCGCTCACACTTCTGTTTCCTCCATCGGTGGCGGCGGGGGAGTGGCAGATACGCTCCACCGTTACCATCCATGTTTACTTCCATAAACACTGAGCACGCTCGCTGCGTGTGACGTCGTCGTGTCCTCTTCTGCGCATGCGGGACACTTTTGGGTCGTATGAAGTTCACACAGCAGATCACATACAAGTCGCATTGAACTGGAAACGTGAAGGAAGTCACAAAGAAATCCTCATTGAGCATCAAGTCCTGCAGTGTGAACGTAGCCAATCTGTGGGATTGTTCAGTCAGATAATACGCCGTCATCCTGATTGGTGACATTAAATGTCATGTCGGAGTCAGAATCCAAGGGTGTCGCTATGTTAAGGCTGTTTTTATGGGTTCTGCTGGTTTTTCCTAAAAACCTGTCGGATAGCAGGTTTAGGATTGCTAAGGGTCAATTATCGAGTCACGACTGTTTTTCTTATAAATTACTTTTTTTTTTTGTAGTAAACTCGACATGGAGCTATTTACATCAGGGTGCTTTGATAGAAAGATCTGCGCGCTTAGAAGCACTCTCTCCTTCATCTCAGCTTAATTTTAAGGCTGCACACATGTAAAGGTGATTTCATGCGTGCCGGCTAATTATCCCTCTGCTCAGGTGAATGCTGGGTGAAGCCTTGTAGGGAATTACTTGAAGCTCCCGGAGGGCATTTACGAAGGTGTGAGGGTGCTTCCGCTCAGCTAATTTATGCTTTCCTTGCTGCTCCATCTCACATCCATGACCCAGAAATTGTTCCCACTTTCCGTGCTACCAACGAGGACGTTTCAGTAAATGCACTGCAGAGGAGACGAGGAGGAGCAAGGAAGCACGGATGCATCCTACGTTAACAATTTTCATCTGATGGGAGCTGTTGTGGAAATAGCTTCAGGATTGCATTGTCAGTGACGGGTTGGATTATGTCATTTCTTTCTAAAACGCTTCAGTTCATTGTGACACATGTTTTTCTCCAGCATCACCACGTAACTGCTGCATCGTGACGTCAGTTGGTCGGGCGCACTCAGCTGTACGGTTTTAGAAAACGGTGGCTGCAGCAGTTACTTCTAAAAGTCTCTAAAGATCCAAGGCTTCACCCCAAATGATCGCATGAGGCGGTTTGTGCACGGTGCAACGTTTTGATGGCGTACCGCGTTAAAGCAACGCATGAGCAGATAAAGAGAAAACACATACATGTGTTATTCTGGAGGATGCAGCACCAGAAAAGGCTAAACCAGGTGATGTCTGTTCATCAGCAGTAAGAGCTTCTTAATCTTTTGTCCTTGCAACTGCAAAATGCACTCGTAAAGCTCAAAACTGAAAAAAATAACCCAAACTAACTTGTAAAATAGTTGATAGACTGGTGATAGAAAGCAGCAGCTCTAAACAGCTTTACTGTAATAACGCTGCAGGATTTGTACGATTGTAGGAACAGGAACGTCAGAACCAGCAACAGCTCCAACATCATTCATTTGTATTCATGAGATTTAAAAAACACATTGCATGTGTAGAACCTGATTCTTGAAAACACTGTTTGCAGCTTTGTGAATTTATTTTTCTTCATAAGCCAAAAAAAGGGGTTTTTCTTTTCCTCCTCTTCTCTTATTTTTCATTCCAATTTCACTTCGGATCATTTACAAAGAAAACTGAGTGTTAGAAAGCAGTCGTAGACGAACATCACTCAGACTAAACAGGGCGTCAGACTACCTGAGATTTCATTCAGAAGAATTTTTATTGCTCCCTCACGTCTTCTAATAAACAAAAGCTGTTATTCTACATTTTGCATGCATCAGGTGTTGGAGCCGCAGATAACGACTCAGGGAACACGTTCTATAGTTGAGATGTTTTGCGTCATGAGTCGAGCGGTTTGGTAAATACGATTCCTTCATCCCAGCGCTTCCTTCTCTCCTGCACCCCCTGTGAGGAGATGCCACCGAGTGACACGATTGAGGGAAGCGGGAAGCCCCGCTCGCTAAATAAAATGCATCCTAAGCTGTACACACCTACAGAGGTGCCACCAGCAGAGCGAGGAGCGCGTCAGTCAGACCGGATCCGTACATGCCCCAGCAGTAACGAGCAGAGGTCTATTCTGAAACACCAGCGTGGGCGGACCGGCGGCCTGTTTCACAGCAGCCTTGTCACAATACGAAAAGCACAGGTGTTACTAATAACATTAGCAATGGCTCTGTTCTATCTGAGCGCCCCAGTAAGCCACGCCGTGTGGCAACCAACACACACCACGATAAGCAGGTAAATCAAATCCAGCCTTTAATAACCACATTATTCGCATCCGTTCCTTTTCATGCCAGAATGTCTTCTGTAAATAAGACTCATTTGTCAAACGTCTACAGATTTCCACTGAGGTTAAAGTTGGTAGAGAATCAGTCTTCACATCCAGGCCGGGCCGACGCTGCCGGTGTGTGAAGGCAGCGTTATCTGGAGGCCACATTCAGGTGTTTCTAACCGTACACACACCCACACATTCAGGCAGACACACAGACGCTCACGTACACACACTGTTTGTGTGTCACGCCGCAGACATCACAAAGAGTTTTCCTGTTCTGGCTCACGTCGCTGACTCGAACACAGCAACTAACTGCTGACACTCGAGCACATACAATCAGCTCATTAGGATTCAGCTGCACAGGCCTTGTATTCACTGTCCGGCGGCTTGTATTCAAACCGAGACAAAAGAGGTCTTGCCCTTTATCTGATATTTTTTTGTAACGTCCCACTCAAGTGACATTCCAAAATGGGAGAATAAAAATGCCTGATATAATAGCTATTCTCAGCACATTGTGCAGCTCTGGCAGCTGGATTAGCGGGGCACTGCATACAGAACCATCTCATAGCCATACTGCGCTCATGAGAACGTACTTATTAAAGAAAAACCTTCCATCTGACTTAAAGGGACCGCTGATTACACATTAGGTTTATTCATGGGGAGGGCTAATCAGTTATATTGTTTTAACGTCCTCTCTTGGCATCGATGAAACTCTTTTGCTCAAACTTAGACATCCACCTCTGTACCTTTACCTCCTTTACAATGTGACCATCTATAAAAAGCAAATCGTGAGCCAACACATGAAACCAACACCTCCTTCTCCACTAGTTTCTCTTTCTGGTGGGCATTTTGCTTTTATGTGACAGCTGGCAGGAAATAACGGGCCACAAAAGTCAAACCAAAGATCAGAAGAATCGAATGTTCTGATAGATTTTATCGCCAGAATCTTAAACCACTATTACATCACAGTGAGTTTGCATCTCAACACTTCGCCCATTAAAGAACCCGTGTTATGATTTTGGGTTTTCCCCTTTAGTGTGTTATACAGCTGCCTTTTTGTATATTTTGTAAAATGTTTGCAAACTCTAGAAGTTTATTTCCTTAAGTTACTCACCTGAAATGTTTAATTTGAAGTCCAGGCTTCTCCTACGTGACTTAGTGACATCACTATGCATCACATTAGCATATCAACTACTTTAACATGCCCTCATGCAAAGAATGAGCAGCTTCCTCACAGTCCACCACGACTTCCTCACTAGAGACACGTCTTACGTCTCTCTACACAACCAACGATTCCATGCTTACGTTCAGTTTTACTGGCATTAAAGAAACAGGCGCTTAAACAGAGCATTTCAGACAACAGGTGAGAAGAGGTGCTGCATCAATGTACATTATGAGAATGTTTTTTTGGACAGTGAAGCATGTAAACCTATAGACCCATAAAATAAATTTACTCGTCAAATGTGCGTTACATGGGCTTTTTAAAGGTTGACCTTTAATACCAGTGATAAAGTAAATACAGTCGTGACTCAATAATCCGACACTAAATGTAAAACCTTCTTTTATGTCGGATTGTCAAGACGGAGGTCCAGATACGAGGAGGGCTTGATGCTGGAAGGCTCATTAGTTGTTAATATTTATCGTTTATAGCTGTTATAATAACTAGTGTGTTGTTAGAACACTACGCATCGCTGGATTTCACGCCTAATTGACCGGTGCATCATTTGTTATCACACAAGTACCAGACAGAGTGATACCTGGACAACAATCCTGCTAAAAATGAAGCCCAGTCAGTAAACAATGTCTGCTCACCTCTTTTGATGCCTTGGTTACATTTGGTGCAGTTTGCGGGGCTGAAGGAGCAGCCTCCTCTGGTGATGGCTGGAATCACACTGGTGTAAGCAGAGTAGCCGTTGATCCTGCAGGGCTCTCCGTAGCAGGCCTCCACTGAGGTGCAGCAGTACACTGGGTGGCTAATCCCTGAGGGTTGTGGAGCTGTGCTTGGGAGCAGCTTGGGCCTCTTGCTGCTCCTCGGGCATAAAGCGAGGGGTGATATGGGAGAGGGGGGGTTCTCTGGGTGGCTGAAGTGGACGTAGTAGCCTGGGAAGCAGGTGTAGGTGTGCGGGCTGATGGTTATGGCTGCTGGGTGGGCTACAGAATGGGGCGACTGAAGGTGGTGGTGGTGATGGTGGTGGTGGTGGTGATGGTGGTGGTGGAACACCTCGGACAGCGAGCCGTCCTCCGGTTCCTTGAAGGTCTTGTCCTCCAGGAAGAGGGCCAGTCTGTGACAGTACTCCACACATCTCTCCTGGGAGCAGCAGTAGCAGGACGACACCTCCGTCTCCACCTGCTCCTCTTTGATTGTTTTTAAGGGGAATCCCAGAGAAGAGCCACAATGCAGAGGATGTTTGAGACACTCCTGCCCCCCTGTGGACCCTGCACCCTTCCACTCCGGATCCAAAGGTTCTGTCTTACACAAGCTGCAGCAGCCCTGGATGGTGGAGCTCGGCTGGGAATGGACCGGATCTTCTGTGCCCTGTTTTCTGTGCTTTAGTTGCTCCTCTTGTTTGGGATGTGTTGTTCTTTTGGTCTGCGTCGTTCCTCCACACACAGGCTTAGCGCTGACGCCATCCTGACTGGTAGCTGCTGCATCGCTCCCACCCCCCGGCTTGGACTCGGCCTTCTTGTGCCGTTTGGTTCCGTACTGGGAACTGGTGAGTCTGAGCAGCGTAGCGGCAGTGAGGCCGGCCTGACGCCGCGGCGTCGGCGCAAACAGACTCAACCAGTCGATGTTCTGAGCCTGAGCTGCTGACCGCTTCTGTTTTTTCGGTTTCTCTTTCACGGCTGCTGCTGCTGAAGAACCCTGTTTGGCTTGTTGACCTCTGTGTTCAGTCTTAGTGAGATCTTTAGCAGGCTCGTCGCCAGCAGGTTGCCATTTCTTTGACAGATTTGCCGCGAGGGAATCGTCCCTGAAGAGCAGCAGGCTGTTGACGGCCTCGGCGTTGAGCGAGGCCATCCTCCTCCTGCGGGGCTCCCAGACGGGGGAGGGCAACACGAGTAAGGCGTCCGATTGGTTGTTTTTTGGTTCCAGTGTTTGCTGATTGGCTGCGGAAGTTTTCTTAAGTCCAGATTTGGTCCTTCGTTCAACGGAGCGCAGCTTCTTTTTGACTTTAACACTCTTTTGCCCTCCCTTTTTCATGTCCTTTTCTTTACCCACAATTCTTTTCTCCTCGAGACGTGTGAGCAGGACACAACAGTCCAGCGCGTCTCCATCGTCCACCGCCAGCGTCTTCGTTCTGTGTCGATGCGAGGCCTTCTTGTCCCTCTTCTTCTTTCCTCTCAGCTCATTCTTTCCCTCTTTCCGTTTCTTTACGCCGTCTCGCTTTGCTTTGCCTCCTTTCTCTTTCTTCCCACCTTTCACTGGCTTGCTCCGCTGAGCTTTCACCATGGTCTCAGCGTCCGGGAGCAGATCCACCAAAACCTCTTCATCCACGGGGTCCTCCAACGGCGGGCTTTTGGCTCAGACGGGGCTCTCAGTGAGCATCATCATCGGTGTCCATGCACTCTCTGCGGAGACACAGATCAGACATCAGCGTTAAAGCTTGAGCCGCACACAGACGTCACTCGTGAAGAACCTGAAAGTGACTTAATGCAACAGACAGGATCTCCTGATGCATTATTAAACAACCGGTTTTACTAAGTTTGCTGTCAATTTGCTCGTCCCCAGAGAATACAACCACTTAGACGAGCTTCTCCTTAACATGCAAATACACTTCACACACAGGATGCAGGAGAAATTGAGACCAGGAGCACATTATGTACAGTGGGGTATAGATTTACCCCTGAGGCCATGTGTATTCCAGGAGCTTTTCCCATTTTTCAATTCCGTTTAAAATTAGCTCCCATTAAAACACAGTGATTATATTAATGATTTGTGCTGTGGCTGCTGCATGAGCTTCTTTTAAATTTTGGGTTGCTTTCACTCTAAACTATTGCCTTTCCATCCTTTGTATCAATGACGGCCATTTTTGGACCCTTGAAGTCATTTTCAAAGCAGATTAATGACTCACACAATCCACCAGGAGCCCAAGCATTCACCCACTTACTCGCCGCTCAAACACGGAAGCAGCGAGCAGGAACAGGTGAGGCATTCAGGTGTTCGACATCTGATATGATGGAAGCTTTACAAGTCGTTGATTTGAGCCGCAGGAGTCTCACTTGTCTACAAGGTCAGAGGAGCTTTCAAATCCCTGTGAAGTATGAAACTAAAGAGCACTTCTCCAACATTCGGAGACACAAAAACAAACAGCGATGATCAAATGACTCACGAATTGATCCTTATTTCACCAAAAACTGGTGGTGGCAGAAACACTCGTCACACAATAGCCCCGTCGGTTTCCATGTCAACAAGCCGGGAACAAGCGCATCAAAGCGTCTCCGGCAACTTCAGAGCAGAAGATAAATAATAATCGGCAGCATCCTCTGTAATTCACATGTCGTTGCCGCTGTGTCAACACCTCGTTTAGGAAAAGCCTCGATGACTCAACTGCCGGCGACCTTTACGCAACGACACCGGTGTGTGTGCGGCACAAAGAACCGGGTCGGCCGCCTCGCCGCAGCCCGGAAACACAATTACGCTACTTGACCTCCAGGAACTAAGTCAACACAGGTCTTTTTTTTTTTCCTTATTAAGTGACTCTTCAGCCAGAGCTTTCACAATTACATACTCTCTTCAGAATTGATTAGGTCTCAGATTTTGGTTCCAGTGTAAAATCAATTAGCCGAGCGGTTTATTTGAAGGTGTTGCTACGACGATGGTACTTTTTTTTACGACATATCGGTCGATTTAGGGGAAAAACATCAACCTCAGATGTCCTGTTTTGGTCAAATATATGTTTAAATCTATAAAACGAACTTGGTGTGAGATGTCGGCACTATTTCAACGATATATTCAATTCAGTTCAAGGTCTTTTATTGGTCACAAACACAGCTAAACGTGGTGTAACATGCAGTGAAATGTCCACCTGTTACAATAATAATAAGGAAAATAAGAATAAGGAATAAAACACACAAGAAATAAAAATATATATATGAACGCATACATATAGAGAGACAGAAAGAGATAGAAATAGCAGAAATAAATACATCTAACTTCCACACAGTGCAAAAAGAGAATAAAACAAATAAAAACAATAAGATAATGTACGTGTATATATATATATATATACCGTATACATGCAGGTAAATAGGACTCAGGCACTTTCAGGCAAAGACGTGCAACACGGAAACCTTTTCAGCAGCTAATGTAATCGTGATGCCTTTTATTTTATTTGGGGGAAAAAAAATTCCATCAGCTCACATTTAAAATTCTAACTTTCAAAAAAAGGGGCTGCATCTCTGATAAAAAACTAAAACCAGGACGCAGATGCAGCATCTCTATGGGCAGGTTAGTCAGCAACCGACTGCAGCTCTTGTGTGTCCGCAGCAAATGACGTTTATTTCTGTACCGATGGCTGCTTTCTATAAACCAAAGTGCATCACGTCATGCTGAAATCTTATTCTTGTGCCTGTTGTCCTGTTTTTAAATTGAGCCACTTATAGTCGCAACAAGGCTTTAATGACTGTGCAGGGCCAGTCAAGGAGAGTGTGTGTGTGTGTGTGTGTGTGTGTGTGTGTGTGTGTGTGAGACAGAGTTATGAGAAACAACAAGAATCTACACAGTCTGTTGTCTTTTTAGTTTTCTGGACGTGAACTGAACTCATCAGCTTCAGAAAAAATGTAAAAGCATTCTCGGTTTCTGCGATACTCCACATAAAAACTTCAATCTTTCCCCATTTGCAGCCGAGCAAAAAACAAAATGAAGTTGCACTGTGTGATAATAATAATAACTGAACGACAACTTCTTCTTCCCACCAAGTGAACAACTCATTCTTTAACCATGCAAACTGTCAACATGCAACACGTGTGAGATCTTCCACATTAAACCCTGAACACGCCTCGTGACTCTTACGAGCTGCGATTTGTTAAAATAATTCACAACAGGACTGAGCAGGAAAACAAACCGTCCGTCGCTCCGGAGCAGCAGACTGAACTCCGGCCGGACGTTTTCAAACCATCTCCGTCTTACAGGCCTCGTCGCTGAATGACTCGGTGAACCGTGAAATGCAATCCATGAGGGAGAAATTTAATTTCCAGATAACAAGCGGACAGAAGGAGCCTCGCATTGAGTTTCTGTCTGTGGATATCAAATCAAGTTGCTTCATTTGAATAAGACAAGCGTGCGCGGCTGAAGGACGGGAGCCTCTTTTAAGAGCACCGTCGGCCGGACCGACCACAAAACAACAACCTGATAGCTTTTCTGAGGCGAACATTAATACCGAGCTCCGTTTTTTTCGTGCTGCTTTGCACAGCAGCAGTACCGACGGCTGCACACACACACACCCACACACACGGTTTCTAGAAAAAACATTTGTATTGGGACACTTTGAGGGAACATTAAACATAAGCTTAGAAAAGCCCACTTGGCAACAGCGCCTCCATTTTTACGACCATTTCTGGAGGACGATTCAAGACGAGAACGCTGCGGATGCTAATGTCCAGATAAACTTAGACTGTTGGTCACACACATCATTTTTTTGTTGACTTACTGACCTCCAGCACAGCCGCGATACACAAACAGTAAAAACCTCTGAGGCCTGATTTGGTTAAAGCCAAAAAAGTTAAATCACCGAATCATTAACTGGAGAACAGAAAACATCTTCCTTGTACACAATGTGCTCTGAATGATCACAGAGGGTGAGATTAACAAACAATAAAATCATTTTTTCAGATCTTTTAAAGCGTCCAAACTGTTCTCTGTTTGTCTCACGGCTCACATTAAACCTGCGGCGATGGGCCACGAGTGCACTGAGCTTTGTTTTAAGGAGCCAAAGAAAACAGGCAGCAGCGGTTCAACGCAGCGGCTCACGACCTTTTTTTGGCTTCCTTTAAATGTGTGACTCTTAATCACAGGTTGCAGCCTCGGCGTGGACATGAGGGCTGCTTCCTTTGAGGGATTTTCAGAGGAGTGAAAAGTCAGCGGCAGAAGAAGAGAAAAAGTCTAAAAGTCCTGGAATCTACTTCAAGCTGTAGGACTTTTTCCATTTAAATGAACGCCCCGCCAAATGAGACGCTGGTTAATTTCCTGTACTTTGCAGGACAACAAAGTTTCAAATCTGGCGTCTATGTAGTGATGCGTTAGAAATAACTGGATAACTGAAATTCAGAGCAGCCGTAGAGATGGAGACATCCATCCATCATCTATACATCGCTTAACCCTCACTGGGGTCGCGGGGGGCGGCCGACGTAGGGCGAAGGCAGGGGACACCCTGGACAGGTCGCCAGTCTATTGCAGACAACCAAGCACACTCACATTCACACCTACGGACAATTTACAATCACCAAATAACCTCAGCATGTTTCTGGACTGTCGGAGGAAGCCAGAGAACCCGGAGAGAACCCACGCTACACGGGGAGAACATGGAGACTCCACGCAGAAAGATCCTGGTGCTCCCACCGGGACGCGACCGGCGACCTTCTAGCTGTGAGGCAACAGTGCTACCAACTGCATCACCCTGCAGCCCAAGATGGAGACAGAGAGGACAAAAAACCAGGAAGCATCCAAGAAAAGTTTCTGATGCTGCAGATAGAAAAAAAAGTCGGCGTTCGGAGGAACGATTACGGTAGAAAATCCAATCCATCCATCATGAGACGGCCTTCACGGGCCGCCACTATGGTTCAACCAGCTGAGCTGGTGACCCACGTATAGGGGCTCTTGTCCCCGACGCAGCGGTCGTGGGTTTGAATCCGGCCCATGGCCATTTGCTGCAGGTCCTTCCTCCATTCTTCTCCCCTCTATCCTGTCTCTCTCTCTCCTGTCCTGTCCTTCACGGTGCCAGAAGGGGGAGACAAAAGTTGTGCACTGCAGGCTGAAGTGTATAAATAGTAAAATACAGTAAAAGTATGCATTATGCACAAAGCTCTATATCATAGTGCTGTAGGTCTGAGTGCAGGCAGCAGGTATGTGTTGCATCTTGATTGCATTATTTTGCAAAGACTTCATTTGCACAAGTCACCAAACAAAGCAGCGGATTAACAAAGCAGCAATAAGAGAACATATTCTCTTTCTTTCTTGCGCTTGACCTTGCAGGTTTACCCGGTGACCCCGTTTCTTTTCAGGGTCCTGAGGTCCAGAATGTACGAAGATGCAAACTCCTCCAATTCTAAAAGTAAACGGAGCACAACTGGTGATACCTCAGCGCCTCAGATTTCCCTCTCTGGCTGCTGCTGATGGCGTATTAACGGGCTGTAGTTTCATGTAGCCTGTATCAGAAGTCTGACAGAGGAAGAGGAGGAAGAGGAGGAAGAGGAGGAGGCTGTCACACACACTCATTCAGAAGAAGGACATTGTGCGGAGCTGTCATGATGAGAGAGAGAAAGAGAAAAGCCCCGAGGCTCTCACCGATCTGCTGTGGCTTCAGATAGTCCACTTTCTCTGGAGCAGAAGAAATAATCAGAATAATCCAACA